TCCTAAAAGTCATCCTGGGGTGATCATGACACTGTGCTGACACCAGTTCCCCAAGTGTATTAAGCTAACTAACCCATTTGCTCTTACTACTACAGAAGCAGATAGATGAAACAATAAAATAGAAGCCACTAGAGAAGAGTTACAGTCTAGCAATATTTATAACTGCACCCTTCCTCCTCATCCTGGGTCTAATGCAGCTTTTGAGGTGTTTTTAATGTCGTGTTTTCTGCCTAGTGTGACGAATGGTGGCAAAACCACCTTGACCAACAGAATCATCAAAGCACTGCCCAACTGCTGTGTCATCCACCAAGATGACTTCTTCAAGGTAAGCCGAACTCCTCTTCCCTGCTTAAAATATTACTGTTGCTTGCCTGTATTTAGGGATAGCTGTAGTGACTCCCCTGTGCAAGCTGTATATTGGTATGTGTATTTCAAGTAAGGCTTGGCACCTTAGGAGGAATGGGTTTGCCTGTTGTGAAGGGGGCAGATGAGGGGGTTTTGGCTCAGGATGGCTCTGGTAAATTTTTGCCTTCACTTTTAGCAATACTTCTAAGTCAAACCACTGATTTAAATGTACTGTGTACAAATTCTTTTTTTTTTTCCTCCATGTTGGCTTTCCTTATTTTACCTAGAAAAAGAAGGTAGCTTCCTTGTAATGCTTGATTTAAAACATAATTTAATAATAATTTTAAGTTAATGACAAAACCTACCGTTAAACACAAACCTACAGTGCTTTAAATACAGGAGAACAGTTATGTTGCATACGGGTTGAGCCTTTAGTAGCTCCTTAGCAGAAACCTGATTCAAAGGCTGCTAAAATGAGTATAGAAAACCTGTGCTGATCCCTGTGCCGCCTGGGGAAGCAGCAGGGAAATGGTTGTGCCAGAACCACGCTGCAGAAACCCTGTAAGCTGCAACCGTTTCATACCGGTGCAAATCCATGATGGATGTGAACGTCCAAGGGATGAGGCCCTTGCACATCCCGTGTTGGCAGCTACATGGTCAGTTTGTCCTGCCTTCCTGCAAGCACCTACAATCCTAAACGTACTGAGATGCTGAAGCTGGAAGCGCTGCTTTGCCATAAGCCTTGTGTGCAAACTTAGCCAAATAACGAGCCTTTAAAGTAAAAGAGGTGGAATTCGGTTTAACCTTTCTGCCAAAATATGACTTCTCCCTTGCCTATTTAATTTGGATATGCTATTGCAAGCAAAGCTGTAAGTAAATGACCAAAACTTAAGCTGTGATGACTGTACTTTTATATATATATATATTAGAACTGTTAGAAGGAATTAAATTATTGAGCATGTAAATGTTAGCAGTTACTTAGCACTGTATTTAAATACTAAGTCTATATGTTTTCCTATAAACACAGAGATTATAATGAGTTGATATTATTAGCCAAAACATTAGCTTAGAATTCTTTGTTAAAGTGGCTTACTTGAGCCAAGAGAACATTTCAAAACTCTTGGGGTTGGTGAAAGATGGGAATTTTTAATGCAATACCGTTAGGGTCTGTAATTGTTTTTAAGTGAACACTTGCTTTCTTGTGTATTGCAGTAGTGTCCAGGTTGTGATCGCATCTTAGGTAGCTGATCACGCTGAGTTTGCAGCAATGTTTTATTGCTCACTATATTTCAGCCACAAGATCAAATAGAAGTCGGGGAAGACGGCTTTAAACAATGGGATGGTAAGAGCAGTGTTCGCTATAGGATGCAGTAATGTATATTTTTTCTAAGTATTTCTTTTTTAATTATTAAAGATTTAATAGTAAATGTATGTAATTTTTGATTTTACAAGTTTATTTTACATTATACTTTCAAGTCTCTGTGATTCATGGTATTTGACTGTCTACCTTTTTCCCACCCCGCTTTCTTCTAACTAGTGTTGGATTCCTTGGATATGGAGGCAATGGTGAGCACAGTGCGTGCGTGGATTGAGAACCCAGTGAAGTTTGCCCGTTCCCACGGGGTGAATGTTACGCCTGGCTCTAAAGAGCCAGCCGCCAAAGATACCCATATATTGGTCATTGAAGGCTTCCTGCTTTATAATTACAAGTAAGGTTTGGGGAATTACTGATGATTTTGGCAGTGAGGAACACCCTGGATCACTAGTGCCAGGGCTAAAACCTCCTTTCTACTAATCTACCCTTCCTGTGTTGTTCTGAGGTATCATGCATAAGAATTTTTCACCCCTTACTACTAGATAAACTGAGGTGCAGGAGGTGACTTTCTCAAAACAACGTAGGAAGCTTTTCTTTAAAGTGTGTCCTCAAGTGTGAGGACACTTGAGGGCTTCAGGCCAAAGCTTTTATGAAAGCCTAGGCTTCCTCTTGCTCTCCCTCCCACCACTATGCCTAAATTTTTGAACTGAAAATATCATTGATAGGAGCATGAAGATAATCAGTTCTCCATTTACTACATGGAATCTGTCAGGACATTGAGTTTTATCATGTGATATATATACTTTTTTAGCAGGAACTAAATTGAGCTTAGCAATTAATTGTACGTTGGAGGAAAGATTTCCTCCAACTTCTTTCCCATTCTTATTCTGGGAAGAAAATACTTGGCAGGAAAATGGGAAAGACCAGATTGTCAGTGAAGAGAGTGCGTTTCCAACATCTAAATAAGCAAAGTGCGTGCTATAAATATAACTTGCAGAAGGTTCTTGGCTCCAAAGTATAGTTTTGTTTATAAAAGTATTTCACGGGAAAAAGCTGTACAAGACACTTGGCAAACCGGAGTTGTTTATGAGCTGTATTGTAAGACAAGCAGCTCTCCAGACTCGATGGAAAATGGCAATCTCCTCAGCTGATGTATACTGAGAATGGCGAGCTAAAGGTTGCCTTGGCAAACAGCCTGGTGCTCTTGGCCTTTCCCTTGGGAAGAATCCTTCCTGGAGGTTATGGATATCTCCGAAATGCTCCTTCTTGTTAAAAGGAGCCTCTCTTTCCTCCAGAGGGAACATAGTATTCATGGGCCTACTGCTTGTTCAGTTAATACTACGTTACGTTTATGCAACTCTCAGTAGGCCTTTAGAAATCTGTTAGTCCCATGAGGTTCAAACTAGCTGTTTGAATTGGCTTTGCATTAATGATTTTTAGAGGTTTATTTTCCTCCATCTGATAAGTGCACAATTTGGTACGGCAAGGTGGAACTTAGTCCTGTCCTGCTTGAAAGGAGCATGAGGTTATGGGTTGCCTTGGGTCAAATTTGTCTGTCCACAGACATTTTGGCAGCTTGTTTCTGCATTACAGGCAGGACTCTTCACAAATTGATCCATATTAGACTGATCAATCCCAATTTTGGTCTGCTGCAAGTGGATTTTGAAATAATGTTATATGCAGTATATAATATGCATATATAATATGCAGTTCATGCCGTAGTTCTTCCTAGCCTATGTCCCAGTAACCATTGACACGATATTTGAGTGGGAAAAGTACCTAAAACGCAGCATCCTGACCTATGAAAAGCAGCATTTTTCACTTCTATATTACTAGTAAACCTATTGTCCATTACCCATCCCTTTATTAGAACATTTAAATTCTAGTATCCGCAATAGATGAAAAAAAATACAGGCAAAGCAGAAATTTTTTTGTAGTTTTCAGGAGTGAGTTTTTTTTTTTCCTACTTTTCTGTTGAAAAAATACACGTTTGTTCTTTCCACCCTACCCAGACCACTGATAGACCTATTTGACATACGCTACTACTTGGCAGTTCCATACGAGGAGTGCAAAAGGAGGAGAAGGTGAGTGGAACGCTTGGCTAAATCTAATCCCTTCCTCCCATAGAGACCCTTTACTAAAGGCAAGAGAGAAAAGAGACATCAACCACTGGCATGTTGTTGTTAATGAGATAGATTGGTGTCATTTACAAATTGGATTTTTACTTGAAAATATTAATGTCAATTGGAGGACAAGTTTTTCATATTACTAAGTCTTTAGATCTTAATAAAACCAAAACAGACCACGAGATCTGCCTGTCCATTAATAGGTGCTAAAAAATTAGGGCCATTTAATGCTTCATTCATGAGCATCCATAAGCCTTTAGCAACTGTTTGCCTTCATGTATGCCATAGGCTACCTGTAGTTTTGGTATTTGTTTTGGATGTTTCAATAAACTAGCTATAAAATGTGAACAATCCTCAGGATGAGGAATTGGACTGTGACAGTCCAATTTACCATAAATTGGACTCAGCTTTACCATAAATGCAACTGAGCAGTTGCCAGATTAACCTGAGGCTTTAGCTCTGTGCCAGAGACCGTGCAGTCCTGCTTGTCTTAATGCCCTCTTCCACTGTCTTAATGTCCTCTCCCACTTCAATATTTGCAGTACAAGGAACTACACCGTTCCTGACCCACCGGGTCTCTTCGATGGACATGTGTGGCCCATGTATTTGAAACACAGGAAAGAAATGGAGGATGACAGCGTTGATGTTGGTAAGACTCTCCAAATACAAATACTTCAGCATTGTACTTTGTATTATAAAGAAATTGGTAGTTCAATTTAAGGAAATTTTAACCTTTAATGATACAAGGCACTCCTAATTTTTTTTCAGTGAGTTTCCATTCTGGCTTACCTTCTGTTCAGATAAATATGTGCCATGTTGTAGTTAACATCATCTTTCCTCTGCTTTAGATTATAATTCCTTATAGCAAAACCCTTCTTTTTGTCATATAAGGGGCTTAGTGGGACAGTTTGGGGAGGAAAGAGGGATTCTGTCTTCCAGTTGGAAAACAAGTTGTGGTTTGTGTCAATCCACTAAATTTTGAAACTAATCTACATAAAATCTGTTCAGAAACCTACAGACTGATTCGGTCTTTTTCTTTTAGTTTATTTAGATGGACTGAAGTCCAGAGATGAACTTTACAATGAAGTCTTTGAAGATATTCAGAACAAGCTTTTGAATTGCTTATAGGTAAATACATATCTGTGAGGGCTACAATGTGAGGGGCTGTCTGCTGAAACAGCCCAATTGTGCTTGGATAGTTACACTTTTCCTTCTTGCTTTTCAGGGTCTCGGAAGACCTGAAAGACCCATGTACAGAATGATGTAAATAGTATTTAGACAGTCAAGTCAAAGTTAGGGTTTATCTACGTAAACTCTTACACTGTCCTTTGGAAAGTATCTTTTGTATATAATTGAAAAATGAAAATAACTTATTTACAACTGTGATGGACAGGATTTCTTTTTTTTTTTTTTTAATTTTCTTACATTTAAGCCGGTGGAATATAAAATACGATTTAAAATGCATTTTTATAATGGAACAAGTAACAGCTGCCTCTGGAAAACAACTGACTCTTCTGCTTCTGCACTCCTGCAGACATAAAGCCTTTATGTAATGGCTTGTTTGTAATGCCATCCTTTGAATTCAGTAAAAATCTGCTTAAAATCTCATCTTTAAGCTCCTGTTTTAATATATTGTTTTTCTGTTTCTTTCTTTGTTTTTTTTCTGGTGTAGAAATAGGACTGAAATCCCCAAAACACAACAGCAGCCTTTTTTATTTCATTTTGTATTTGAAATATAATATCCTAGAACTACATGTGCAATGTTAGACCTCTTTGGTATCTCCCTGTCACTTAAGTGATAACAGTAGCCTGAAAACACAGTTTGAGTCACACATTCCAGCCAGAGAACAATTCTTGGAGCCAACTGGGAGAGAGAAACAGCACCTCAGATATTTTTAAATTGCTGATGGGACTGTTCTTACGTCAGCCTCACAACTGCTTGACATATCTCACTTTATGGGCAAAACAAATTAGCATGTAAAGATGTTATCATCTGCTTCACACAATAGTAAAGTGGTACCAAGGTGAAAAGTTTGGACAGAAGCCTCTTCCTGCATATTTGGAATCCAAATTACTTGGTCCTCAAGTCTCCAGTTAACAGTTTTGAGGGTGAAAGGTACCATCATCTTGAACTTAAAACCCAGCGAGGAAATGAGTTGAGCTTAGCAGGGAGCTGGGCAGCAGCTTCGTGGTAACACTGTGCTGGGATGGGATACTTTCCTTGGGAATTATCACTGAAAATACTGTCTGAATTTCAGATTTGAACTGAAAAGCATTTAAACATGTTCTTGGAGTACATATGCAGTTGTAGTAAATTAAGATAAACCTACTGTAAGAAATCTGTGTGATTTCCTATATCTAGGTTGTAGAAAGTAGTCCTGTAGGTTGCTATGAAATCTGAAAATGGAGCATCCTGTGGATGAGCTTGTATGTAAATAGGTAATAAAATCTGGTGGGAGAAAGGACAATAAACTGTCAGATAGCTACTACTTGGTAAGATTGTAGGTGCAGGAGATTTTTGAAATTTGTCTGGTAAGCTTGTTTTAAGATAATCTGTAAATGACCCAACTTGCTCATATCCTCGCTCTTTGGCAAAAATAAGCTGTCAGGGGTAATGCTGTCTCACTATTTATTTTTCTTTTCCATTGATAGAGTTTTCCTCTGTATTACTGTGAGGGGGGGGAAAAAAAAAGCCTTGTGGCCAAAACCAAACGGCACTGAAGGGCTGTAATTTTGTAAACAGAATCAGGAGAGTGAAGTAATGTAATAGAAATAGTTATAGAATAGAAATAGTAATAGAATAGTTCCTTAGAAAGGAACTGGGTCATCACTCCTGAAGCAAAACTGAGCGGTGGAGCTTTATTCTCCTGATCATTACACACTGTCTAAGGCTTTTGGAGGGAGGAAAAAAATCTGCCTGCGTTTTTTCCCTTAAATAGCAACACAACTTGTATTTGTGAGGCTTTCGGGCCAGACCAATGCATTAGGAAAACAGTGACCTTCACTAGGAAGCCTCATAGAAAGCTCAAATAACATAAGCATAAGCTCTGTTTTTAAGGAAATCTATATGTATTCTTGTCTTTACCCATGTGCTGTGCTGTGGTATGTGCTAATGCCAGCTGTGCCTAGGGAAACATCTGCCCTTGTGTGCGGAGCGCCCGGACGAAGGGAACTCGCTGCAGTCCTTAGCCCTGCAAAAATAACCCAGACTGGGCAGCGGTGCTGGCTGGCTCCAAGCTAATAATAACTCTCCACCTTCTTTTATGCCCATTAACTAATTGAGCTCAAATCCTGTGGTGAGATAGGCAAGCAGGCTGGGCGCTTCCAACCAGCTATAAAAATACCCTGGCTAAAGATAGGAAGTGCCATTAAACTGATGTCGTGAAGCACGGGGGCCAGGCCACGCATAAGGGCACCCTGCACGCTCACGCTGTCGAAGTACAAAACCTCTCACGGGGGTGAGCGTGGCCCTCGGGCCTTGAAAATAGCAGCTCTGGGCCCAGCAGTGCTTGTTTTGCATTTTGGGGCAGGCCTTAATTAGAAACGTGGCTGCAAAAAGGCGTCTGCTGCTGATGAGTGAGAAGTCACCTAAAAATCATCAAGCTGGATGCGAAGGGTGTTGAACCAGGGACCAAACTAGCTGGCAGATCACGCCTGCCCCTGTCTGATGGGTCTTGGTTGACCAGCTGGAAGGGAGAAACAAGTACCAGTGACATTGGAAATGCACAAGGGAGAAGAAGCCCAAGCCTGGATGCTGCGGCCGGCTGTTACAGTCTGCACTGATTCCAGCCTCACGGCTCCCTTCTAAAGGAGGTGCCGGTCCCCGTTGGCAAGCAGGGCAACCCAAAGCCTCGACCATGGTGTTTCACTTCCCACAGACCTCCTGGAGACTTGGGCACCTTCGCACTTCCCAGAGCTGCCCTTGGGAGGACTTGGTGCCTGTAGTCCTCCCAATTCCGTGCCAAAAACTTGGGAATGACTTAATTTCCCCTCTTACAGGCAAAGCGAGGAGGGGAGACGGTGCCAGGTCTGCAGCTCAGCAGGTGCTCAGCACGGGAGTTGCCTCCCCATAAATCCTCCGTCAAAAGGCAGATAAATATTTGATGCCTTCTGCAATTCAAAAGCTGCTAAAGCAGACCCAAGTCATCCTGTGCAAGGTGGGGAGGGCAACAAAGTGCCCAAAATTCTGCTTTATAAAAGTTTCATGGTATTTCTGTGCATCCAACCAGTTGAGATCTAACAGCGTGGCTTCGGGATAACTAGGGATGAGGCAGCAGCAATGTCCAGCAAGGATAAATCAACTAGTAACTTCCAAGAACCTTTCAGGACAGCAAAATGGGAACGGAGGGCATGAGAAGCATCCCGTAAGTGTTTGCACTATGTCCGCTTTGCAGGGCGCCCCCGTGCCCTCGGGCCGTGCACGAGATGCCACGTGTAAGCGGAAACCCCGGCGTTCCCGGCTGCTCCAGGGCACGGGGCCGCCGGGGGGGGGGCAGGAAAGAGGCGGCCAAACTCCTGGGAAAAGCGAGCGGGGAGATCGCGCCGTCCCGGGCAGCGGGACAGGGACAAGGCGCGAGCGCTCAGCCCGTGCTTGCCCTTTCCCTGGAGAGAGTGGCCTGGACGGGGTGGCCAGAAGGGAAACTTGGGATCGGGCCCCAAAGCCACCGCCGGGGACAAGCAAGGCCGAGGCACCTGCATGGCAGGGGGACACTCTGGCCCCCCCAGTGCCACCCTGGATTGTCGCTACCCGCTGTCCCCGCATCCCGGCAGCCCCCGGGCACCACGGCGGAGCGGAGCGCCCCGGAGCTCTGCTGCAACCCGCGGCCGCTGCCCCTCTGCTGCGGCTGGGGAACTTCTGCCATCCGCTGCAGGACGGATTGGGCCGGTGATTCCGCCGATCACATTCGGATGGATCTTGGCTGCTGTTCAGGCAGGCGCCAGGATCTCCCTGCACCCTCCGGGAGCAGCCGCAGGGCTGAGAAATCCAAGACCTTTCCCAACCTCGAGGCATTGCCTAAAACACCAGGACCCTCGGCAAAGTTCATGGAGCTTCCCAGCTCCCAGGAGTCCCCTAAAAAAAACCCTGGAATGAGCCCAGGACCTTGCCCAGGATCTTTCCCGAACCCTCCCAGGCCTGTCCCAAGCACCCAGACACCTTCCCAAGAAAGTCCAAGGAGCTGGGCACAGCAGGGAAAGGAAAAGGGGCTGCAGCTCCCTGCAAAAGGACCCTAGATTGGGACTGTCCCGGGATGAAATGAGGCACCCAACTTGTACAGAAACGTTTATTTTTTTAAAAACGGAGAGCCTATCCCATCGGCCATGCACGATTACAAAGGCACGTGAGCCTGCAAATTCCCAACTGGAGCACCGGGATGGCAGGAGGGCTCCGCTCCGGCGGATCCTCACGGACACCCACCCGGCCCCGAGCCCTTGCGCCCCGCCAGGGTGGCCCTGCAGCACCCAGCACAAGCAGCGAGGTGGGGAGCAGCCCGGCAGCCACCGAGCACGGGCACCAGGGCTTGCTCCCATGGGAAAATGGGAATGGGAGGACAAGGATGCGCTTGGTCCACGCGGGAAGCATCTTTTGGTCACGGCCAGAAGTACAAAATTGACCTTTCTGACAATTTTCTCCTCCGTGCACGTTGCGTCCCCGAGCACCCGTGCCCTAGCAGCCAGGGAAGGAGGGAGCGGGTGCTCCGGGGAGGAACGGGACGGGAAGCAAATGAAAAGGGTATTTGTGACCCCGCATCGCCGCGCAGCGGGAGGAACGCGGCGACGGCCACTGGGAGCGTCAGAGTCTCTCCCAGAGCCACAAGCTGCCTTTGGAAATGACCTTTCTGGCACCTCAGAGACCCCACACAGGCCGCTGCACCCACGCTGGGGGCAAGGAGGCCCAGGGAAAAGGCACAGGAGGAGGATGAGGTGAGCTCGAGCAGACAGAGCTCAACCTGATCCCTCCAAAGTGCCACCAAACAGAGCTAGAAATCCCTGGGGAGGGAGAGCAAGCACAGCCGGGTGGATGGGTGCATTTCACAAGCCTCGAGCTGCCACGAGGGTTTCAGAGAGATTTCTCCCTCGCGGAGACGCCGACAGCCAGGGCGATGCTGCAGCACAGGGCAGCAGGTAGAGAGGAGCGGAAGGAGACGCCGGAACACGGCCCATCTGCTGCCACGCGAGCAGCGTCCAGAGGCACGAGATGATGAGGACTGAAAAGAAGAAAAGCACCAAGAAAACGGACCGCAAGCCCCAGCCCGGGCAGGTGGAGATGGGAAACCTCAAGGCATGTGCTGGAGGCTCCCAATGGACCCTATGGACAAGGAAGAGGCAGAGCCACTGCGGTTTCTACAGCCTGGCCTCCCGCGCTCGCCGATTCAGGAAGGAGCAACTGCCACATCCCAAAGAGAGCCAGGCCCAAGGGGCCACCAAGCTGGGACCGTGGTCCTCAGGCAGCCCCAGCGCTACACTAAAAGCTGCTGCAATCCACTACGACGCAAGAACCTGCTCCGGGCAAATAAGCAAAGCTGGGCCACGTGGGGCCGGGCGTCCCTGTCCCGACAGGCCCCACGGCCGCGTCCCTCCCGCGTCCCTCCCGCCCCCGTCGGCGCCGGGGCCCGACCTAGCGGATGCTGCCGTCGCCCTCGCCGCTCTGCAGCTTCTCCCGCTCGATGGACCACACCAGCTCCTGCACAAACTTCATCTCCGAGGCCACCTGCTTGGCCAGCGCCTCGTAGTGGTTCTCCAGCTTCCGGTAGCGCCTCTTGAGGCCGTTGGCCACCTGCAGCACGTTCTTGGTCTCCTCCTGGGCTTGCTTCTTCATGGCCTCCGTCTTCTGCAGCTCCTGCCGGATCTGCCGGAGGTCCTGGCTGATGCTTTCATTCTCCTCCTTGTACCATGACTCCTTCTCCTCATAGATGGACAGCAGCGCCTCAATGTCCTCCCGGAAGGACTTCTTGTTCCTCTCCAGCTCCCGGAGGCTCTCCTCGGCTGCAGCCACCTCCTCCATGACCTTGGAGAAGCGCTCGAAGTTGATGTAGGTGTTGTTTGGTGGCATGCTGGAGTGGGATTTGATGGTGTACTCCTTCAGGCGCGTGGTCTTCAGCCGGCGGCGCTCGGGCTTCTTGCCGTTGTCTTCGTTGCGGACGTTCCTCCTCTTGATGACCTGCAGAGCAGAGGGATGGCTGGTGTCACGCAGGGCAGGCGTCGCACATGGACATGGTGGGAATGGGACCACCAGCTTGTCCCTTGGCCCCTGGACAGGGGAGCGCAGCCCCTGCACAAGGAGCTTTGGCTCTTCAGCAAGGCTCAGCCAGCTCCAACCGCACTAAATCAAGAGCTGCAAGCTCACAAACATCCCCCAACCTCCTGGGTAGCTTCTTACCTTAATCCAAGGATGCTCAAGGCTTTGAGCTATTGTCATCCGCTTCCTGCAACGACAACAAGGCCCGGATCAGCAGGACAGAAGTTCGGCTGCCCTTTCCCCCATTAAAGTCTGGAAAACTCAGATTTTACTGCCTTTGCAGCCCAGCTTTGTGGATAAGCCCAGACAGATGGACAGACAAGCTCACTGTACTCAGAAACAAACCTACAATAAGCCTACAAGAGGCAAAAAATGAAGAGCTAAAGAGAAGGGGGAAAGGGTTATGCCAGATTTTTAAACTCCCAGCACAAGAGAGATGTCCAACAGCCCTTGGTGGCAGCGAGCAGCGTGGGCGCTCAGCTCGGTACCCCAGTGGCAACGGGGAGACGGGGGCTGCCTGCCCACAGACCAGCAAGGAGCAGCCGCCCTCCGCTCCCAGGTTAATCCCTGTCTGCTCCCCATCTCCTACTTGGGATCCTTCACGAGCAGGCGCCGGATGAAGTCCTTGGCGAGCTCGCTGGTGTTGCTGAAATACTCCTCGTCAAAGTCGTAGTTCACGGCGGAGATGTTGGTCAGGGTCTCCTGCTTGGTCTCCCCCAGGAACGGGGAGGCTCCGCTCAGCCTGCGGCAGGAGCAGCTCGTGAGCACCGCAAGCACCGACTGTCCCCAGGGCCGTGAGCGCGAGCGGGGCAGAGCTGCTCCTGCTCTCACAGCGACGCTCCCAGCCCTGCTCATACTCACAGGATGTACGTGATGACCCCGATGCTCCTGCAACAGAGGGAGGGACAAGGTTACAGCGCAGCTGGCAGACCAGCGCTGCCTCCTAGCAAAGGTGCATGGAAGAGGGATCACTCACCACATGTCAGCCTCCAGCCCCAGCGGTTCGTAGTTCACGATTTCTGGAGCTTAGGAAGGAAAAATGGGAAAGGGGAGACTTATTCTGGGGGAAGAATCCAGCCACCGGGTCCCCACCGAGGTGCCCAGGCACCGCCTGGTCAGGGGAGCCCTCACTGCTCTGGGAAAGAAGGGCTGGCCCTGCACAAGCGACACCCACCCGGGACTCACCTACAAACTCCGGGGTCCCAAATATGTTCTTGAACTCATTCCCAGCTTCGATCTTGTGGGCAATGCCAAAGTCAATGAGTTTGATGCGAGGGTTTGGCACGTTCTTGTCCAGCAGCATGATGTTCTCTGGCTGCAGAGGAAGAGCAGGTGGTGATGACCCTGGTCGCACTGACTCCGTGGCCACATGCTTTCCCACAGGAGCCTGGTGCCCTGGGCCCCTTTTCCCAAACAGCTGCAGGAGCTACAGCCTCTGTGACCAGCATCACAAACACACACCATAGTGGTGGACAGGAGGTCACTCCACCAGGGCAAACTGGATCGCTCCGCATGAGAAGCTGGTCCAGAGGGTGGTCTCCACTTCCCAGCTGTTAAACGTGGGATCTCTACACCTCCCCATGTCTCATAAGAATCCACAGGGAGCACCAGGTCACAGCCACAACCAGGAGCTCCCATCCCACAGTCCAGAACTCACCTTCAAGTCGAAGTGAGCGATGCGCTTGGAGTGCAGGTAGTGCACCCCGTCCAGGATCTGCTTGAGGAACTGGGTGGCCTCCTCCTCCGTCAGGGACTCCTTCTCGGCCAGGAAGTCGAAGAGCTCCCCGCCCGAGACCAGCTCCAGGATCAGCACCACGTCCGTCTTGTTCTCGAAGATGTCGTGCAGGGTGATGATGTTGGGGTGCTGGATCTCCCGCAGGATGTCCACCTCCCTCTCGATCTCCTCGCGGCTCACGCCTCGCCTGCTCGACGACAGCCGCCGCTTCTTGATGAATTTCGCCGCGTATTCCAGGCCCGTCTTCCTCTCCCGGCACTTCCGCACGATGGCAAACTGGCCGCTGCAGGAGGCAAGGCCAGGTGAGAAGACCCTCTGCATTGCACGTGCTGAGAGCCGCTCTGCAGCAGGGTCTGTAACGCAGTGAGGATCGTGGGGACCCCACGCGCGTGCAGGAGGAAGCACAAATCTCCCCGACCCGCCAGGATTCAGTGTGCTCCTGGAAAAGCCCCTGTGCTCAGCTGCACATGGAAAATCCTGCTCCTGCAGCACTGGGCTGCGATGGAGCAAAAGCAGAGCCCAGAGCAGGCTGAAACCCCAAATCCTTCCTACAGAGGCTCTCAAACAGGCTCTTGGGCCACTCCAGATCACACCGTTTCACTCCTCAATCCTGTGTCCCACCACTCCAGGTCTGCAGGAGCTGGCGCTTAAATCCCCATGGAGCAGCACTGCGTGGGACAGAGGAAGGAAGGAAATTCCTTGCGAGGACACGGCAGCTGCAGACCTGTCCCAGCGCGACCCAGGCAGCTGCAGACGCTATTCTCGCCCCTGCGCCTTCCTCGGAGCGTGCCCGTGTGCCGGCGATTTGGGCAGCCCCTGTCTGCAGCCCCCAAGGGTGCCTGTCGGAGAGCAGACCTCGAAACGCAGTGGTCCCCAGCTCACCAAAGCTTTCACAGAGCTCTGAGATGGCAGGAAAGGAAAAATAAAAAGAGCCTGAAATAAGAACAACCACACAGTCGGCAGCCTGATTGAGTGGGTATTTCCATCAGGTAAATCTGCTCCCAGCCTCAGGCAGCAGGGCCTGGGATGTGGATTGGTCTGGGTGTGTTTACAGGCGCTTTAAGAGCAGGGTCAGGTAATGGCAGCAGGTAATGGCCAAGCGCCCTACGGCCCAGTCCCATCCTGCGAGGACGGAGAAGGGCCCTTTAACGGGACCCTCCTCGGGAGGAAGAGCTGCTGCTCCAAGGCCTGGGGCTCCACATCCCGTCCCCTCCCCGCAGCCCCGGGACGTCCCGGCCATTGGCCGCCCCCGGCACACGCTGCCGTGACGTCTCCGTGCCGCCTCCGTCACCGGCCGCCGCTCGCCCGGACTCAACGCTCCTTATAAGGCCCGGATCAGGGCCGGAGCTGACCGAAACGGATGGCGGCCAAGCCCGGAGGCCCCCGGTCCTCCCCGCTGCCAGCCAAACCCTCCCGGGAAGGAGGGGGAAACAAAGCACTTCAGTGCT